GCCCTGTGTTATTAAAAATTATTTATAAATTGTAAATTCAACTTTCTCTTGAAGTGAAAATGACACATTATTTAATTTAATTAAGTTGATAATTAAATGTAACCCCAAGCAGTATCAGTAACATTTGCGAAGTACTAATTAACACTCAAGTAGTTTCACAAGCCCTTGGGACTCTTTTGTTGAGTTTTGTTCTGTGTTACAAAGTTAAAATGAGCCTTTCTACTTTTGTTTCATTCCTTTACATTAGGACGAATTTAAAAGTTCATTAAACTGGGTTTAAAGCACTTATTGCATATATATGGTTATATTGCTCGACCAGTAATAAGACATTTGCCGTTTCAATCATGATGGTTATTGCCCAAGAAGGATAAAGTATTTTTTGCGTCTTCGTTTTACAAGAAAATACCTAATTCGCATAAGAGTGTCATATCAAGAAATCTTTCAGAATGCATTCTCAAAAACTGCCTGATATTTTTAGAAAATAAAGACGAGCAATAAACGCTCGAAACGCACGAACAACTACTTCTGGCAATGTTTTAAGATAGTTGAATGTAGAACACTTGCTTGAAAACAATAACGCTTTTTCATAAATATGTTAAATGTACAAGAGTAAGAAAACAAACCTCATAAGGTATGGTTGTGTGCAAAATAAGCTGTTCCAGCTGCGATGCAATCCCATGGTTACTTGAAAGCCTGACCCTCTGTCAAAAAAAGGTATAGTTGCAATATTTGTGTAATTCTCTCAAAGCAGGCACTTTTAAAAAGTAACATCTGCTAATCATATGGATCCATGTAGGATTATTTCTGCATTGATTGTTTTGTTATTATTTTTACCATAATTCGAACTAATTGTTTTTTGCAGCTAGCTGTGTGGATATAGGTAGTATACAGGACTTTGGGAAATGAATCCTCATACGGAAAGGAAGAAAAAAGTTAATGAGAAGGTATGTCTGAAAATGCATATTTACCAAGATATCCGCCATTTTGTTTTTATAGAAAAATATTTTTATCTGTGAAGTTTGTCATTAGTAAGCATGTTAACATACACAAGACCTAATATAGAAAAAATAATAAAGTTGGTCTGATTGTAAATTGCATATTGGTGGCCATTTGAATTTTTATACCTTAAATAGCTCAAACATGCTAATCCTGTGCAAAAATGCCAAGAATACTTTTTTTTAGAATTTTTAGCTCCCTATCAAACAATACCAAGATAAAAAATATCAGACGAGAAATAACTGAAATAGAAGTTTTTTAGTTGTAAGATCAGGCAAACTAAGTGTTCCCCGACTAACTTTGCCTTATTTTACACCAAAATCGTTATATTTAATTTATTTTTAACCCAAAATATTACCAGTAGTAACACTGTTCAATGTACTCTATTTCTTCATAAACAAAAGTTAAGATAATGAATGTAAAAATGACATGACAAGGTCTGTATTTCCATGAAAAATCGTGTTAAGCTGCACACCAAAAAGTTCTAAAATGATAACAAGGTTTCAAGTTCAATATGATTTTATAAAGTTTCAGCAAACTCACAACAGTGGATAAATCTGTAGAACAAGTTCTAAAATGATAACAACGTTTCAAGTTCAATATGATTTTATAAAGTTTCAGCAAACTCACAACAGTGGATAAATCTGTAGAAGCTAAAATCGGTTTCCATGAACACTTAAAACTTTAATTGATTACAAACTTTATCTTATAGATTATGTAAAGCTCCTCGTGTGTGCTTTAAGTAAGTCTTTTCCAGTTTCATTGTGCAAGTTTAGCTTCGCCGATGGCAACTTTATATTGAGCTCTATTGTTAAGATTATATCTTTTTGGTATTATATCTTCTAATAACTTTAGTTCAACATAATTGAGTGTTTGTTATGACACAGCCCACGATGATGAATGTTGTGTTAATAATTTAATCTATATTGATTCAGTTTGTATAATTAAACTCATCCATATCTCACTAAAATATGAGATGGATATAAGTAAAGCTGACATGACTTATTTTTTTTTAACATTTTGCAAAAGTTTGTAGCAATTTTATTTAGGCCTAGTACTTAGCTGTGTGTACTCGTTCTACGGATGGGGATCTTGTAGTCAGTTGAAACCTTCTTATAATCAGAACAGCAGTTGGTTTACACATTTAGTGTGAATTTTTCCAGATATGCAGGCAAAGTAAATAATCCAAGATTCAGTGTCTTAATTATAAATAATTTTACACCAGAAGTACGGTCATAACATTTTAATCTAAGTTACTTATAGTTTCTATTCGGATCATAAATTTAAGTTTATTGTTACTGTGTCTAATTGGCAACGTTTATTATAATAACTCAGTTTTCTAAATAAAATAAGATACGACCGTTGAGCAGTTTCCTCATACCATAGTGAAGGTAGAGGTTTAAAATAAAATATTGTTTGTAACTATTTGATTTTTTAATGAGCATAACTGTATTTTTTTATGTAAAAATGTTAAGTATAAAAGTAAAGATTAACTAAGTCAACTCAAATATTATGCAACGTACGTGTGTTTAAGCATTGTCACCAAGTTTTTAAATTTTATTCGTGTTGTATATGGAACTGCACTTGGGGACATACTATTGCTTAATGCGTGTGTGTATGTGTCCGTGTTGGTGTGTTTGCGTGTGCGTTTGTGTTTGTTTCTGTGTGTTTAAAGTACTTGTCAACGCCAGATGTTTCAGTCTCACTTGTCAAGACAATGTGTCGTACAATTCTATCTACCTCTGTTCTTCATGTCTCAGGGTTTGTTTTAAAATTCTACACAACTGAGGTTTAGTAATTCCAAGATATTACATGTACTTGTTTTACATATAAACTTGCTACCACCTTTAAATGTGCATATAATAATTGGTTTGTTTACTCGTGTTTTAAAATAGGGAAGATGGAAAAATTGATAAACGCGGTTCTTTGAATATACTGTAGAAAACACACACCTGTTGTGCCACTGTATTTAATTATCATTAGTGTAACCTTCAGTATCAAATAGTCAATGGTCAAACCTAATATTGCTTATCAAACCGTACATAAAGTAAATAGGAAAAGATGTAAAAATTGCAATTTTGCTATGGAGATTTGATAACTACGTCCGAACGCTCTTACTGGAATCTTCTTATGCCCTTGGGGTGTAGCAAGATTAGATTTTAAGAACATGGAGCCTACCCATGTTGGTAGGTTTCATGGCCCACTTTGTGTAAAGCTCTAGTCCACTAAGTTCAGGGTTTTTTTGCATTAACTATTAGATTTTTTTACTTTTATAAAAAAGACAGACATTCAGAAATCTCATCTTCTCTACGATACAATAGGTTTTAATAATTTAAACAAACGTTTTTAGTTAAACAGATCACATTTTTAAACGACGTTTTCAGTTTTTAAACATTTTTGTTTTCAGGCTCAAAAGTGTCAAGGAAGAGAGTAGTTGCCTTTTTGTAAGTACCCAAGACAGCATTTAACGATTTTTGTGTTAAGGAACAATATTAATTGGTCAAACCCAGTTCATTTTAATGCCTTACATTAACTATTACCTATACATACTATTGCCTATACATTAACTGAATAAACTAGGACGGTGGCGTCGCCCTGTAATCCTAGGAGGTTACAAATTGTGGATATAGACATGCACTGTGGATCCGATGATCCCTGTTGTGTATTAACGTCCTCTACGACTATCCGCAGTACTATCCTGATAATTAGACCAATTCGTTAAATACAAGGGAAAATGTGGTTCGGATTTCACTATAAACTGTTAGGTCCCTTAGTTGTCATTGGCTGTATGGGCTATTAATTAACAGCCGTGTCAAAGGAACATGTGGGGCTTAGTCACTAACAAGACTACAAGATCGTGCCACTCATCCTACACTCATTCTTCACTCACATTTAGGTTAAAATACCCCCGCCGCAGCAAACCTGCCGAATTTCCATTTGCCAGAATAGATTTTCAATCAAATCTATTTAAATAACATATATTTAAATAGCATATTGATTACTTAAGACTATCGACCTTTTATATGTAGAATAAGATTATCTACGTTTCTAAGTTACTTATACACTAAGGGGCAAATGATACTTATTCTGTTGTTCGCTTATCCACTTAGGATATTTATTTGGGTTTATTAAAATTTACATATTTACAAAACTAACCCTAAAATATTACAAAGTACACATTGAAGGAATAATACACCAGAAACAAAAATAACAAATAATATTATTATAAATGTTATTTTTTATATCCTGTACCACTGGTAACAGAATTACAATTAGCGAGTATTTTAATTCCATTCATAATAATAAACTGCTTGGATTTGGTATATAATATTCTTCGATATTAAAAATCTTATTCTTATTCCATTATTCTAATACCATGTCAATACAACAAAACTAACTTAATAAAAAGCTAACTCGTTGCAATCTTTGAAAAATCCCCACATGCAGATACCAGTATACTTTTTTTACCGTTAGTACATGATGAATGAATTTTATTTTCCCCTCCGTTTCCTTGCTGCACAAATAACACAAATTTAGTGTAATATTATAATATGATTTGGTGGAACCCCAGGTAAATTAAATACAGTATAAGTGTATGTACAGTATCTAATCTTCAGTAATGTAATGTGTTTTTGCCAAACTAAAACGGTTTCGTACTCCTAAGGCCATCAGCAAATATAAAATGATAGGCTGAGTAGTCCTCCATGAGGTTGTCATTGGAATGGTGATGCAAAACTTAAATAAACACACCCACACATAAGAAGAGAGGACAAATGTTAGAGTACATCAATCAAGTAAATTTACCAAGTGCGTGCGGTAGACAAGTGGTGCGGTACCTACGAAAAGTGAGTCACGACTAAAGAAAAAAAAAATAATCTTTTAATTTGCTTATTTTTCCATCCTCTGAGACTGTTAAGAGGTAGTATCACACCGGTCTTCAGTGAAAAGATCCTTTCTATTGCATAATGTTTTAATAAAAAAGAACTTCCAAAACGAACCCAGTATCTTCTTTACTGAAAGACAAAATTACAATTCGTCAGTATATCTGCATTAGGAATTACAGTATTCAATGTTTTCGCACAGAGCCCACCTGGAATTATCCAAGGCTCTTAAGTGAAGAAAATACTATGCAAAACTTCACTTATCCAAAAATCTCCGATATTTTCTCACACCTCCCAATGAAACACAAATGTCTGCACTAAAACACATAAGCATTAAAATATGTTTTGACTTAGCCTAGAATCTACACCATCAGACGACCAGGTTCGCTTCTTCTCGGACTCCAAGAGGTACGTGACCCTCTAGGAAAGGCCACCGTCTCTTGGACACCCGCTCTAGTCGTCCTCTCAGCATCCAGAGCAGGTCGTTGAGGTAGAGTACGTCCTGAAGATCCTGGTGGAGACGTCTTGCTTGGGTTACCAGGTAGTCGGTCGTGGCTAGGAGTTCCTGCAAGTATTAATCCAGTAAGGTGAAGCTAAGCAAATCTGAAAAATAATAGTTAGAACGCACCTCATCAGACGATCCAAAGACTTGTGGAGAAACTTGGTATATATGTTTCAGCGGTGATTACAACTTCTCAATCGTCAAATGAGTTATAAACAAATATGAAGTAAAAAAAGAGTATTTATGGAATACAGTAATTTTATTTGAGGTTAGCAATTTAATCTTTAGAGTGTGACATACAGACGAAAAATCTGGAATACCCCTCTTTGAAGAAACAAAACAAACTAACATGTGTAATCTTGCAGTATTCAATTACAACTGATATAAATATTCAAAAACTAAAAATGAAACACAAAAATTATATTATTTGTTAACTTTAAGTACATTTATTTAGTTAAAGAGTGGACGTTCTTGGGTCGAGTGAATATACCTACGCATTTTATTTGTATTCACTCCACCCAATTTTTAATACCTTGTAGATGAATGGTTTTTTTATTCTAACTAAAAGAAAAGTCTTTATTAAACTCTTGTTTCAAATAGATAATATCTTGCTACCTTTTAGGTGTAAGGCACAAACCGTACTAAAACCAAACAAATGCCATAAACTTACTATACCGAATGAAATAAATGGATCTAGGCACCCTAAAATACAATCTAATTTATAAAACCGAATTCACCTGAAAGTCCACTCTCAGTAGAATGCCTTGGTGCAGCAGACAGCTATTTTCAGAGTCGAGGTCGACTAAACGAGAGTGTAAGTTGGACGCCGCCTTCAGGAACTGCCCCCGGGGCGCCGCCAACTCTGCCTCTGCCGTCCCCGGATCCACCTCCACACACCTGAGCAGCGCCAGGCTGGGGCAAGGCAGGGGCGTGCGCAACACCGCGGCGAGGTGACGGTCCCCCGGAGAGCTGGGGCGTAGCAGAGTAGCCAGTTGTTCCGGAGACGGAGATAACGGCAAAGTGGTAGGTCTGGGAGCCTGTGGAATAAAGTTAAATTAAGCACAAGTATAGGGAATAAAAAGTCTGAGTATCAATCAGGATCTACAGGAAAAAATGCATGTAAAAATAATAGCATGGTTTAGTTCAATGTTTATCAAAGGCCATTTTATAAAATCAAATCATTTACATTTCTGTTCTGAAGATGGCGATGAAGGCAACACAGCGCAAGAAAACGGGACTGAGTCCAATTTTGATACTGCAGTGTCCATAGGTAAACATGCACAAAATTACAGCTGGGTATAAATTATACCAAAACACCTTAAAGATTTTTTTGGAGGTTAGGACTGACAAGATCATGGCCATGCATCTAACTTCTCCACAGTGTCTTTGTAAATATTTATGTATAATCAGTGTCTATATTTGTAAATATTCTATTCAACCGACAATATCTCAAGTAAGAGATTTTTTTTTTACAAGTATTTATTTACAATCTATTCAATACTAGAATAATAAGTAAATTCAATAACCATTTTAACATGGGTTAGTTACACTCCATCAAGTGCACTAACATACAAAAACTTTTAAAAAGTTTAACTAAAAACGATTTGGAAGGTCTATTGGATTAACTCTTTTGAGCCTATATGTAGCTTCACTATTGTCGAGGAGGTTAACAGCCAGGAAATTTGGATGGGTTTCTAATTCAAGTAAGAGATGAAACACAAAAAGTTTAGCTTAGCCTAGGACTGACGATAACGCTCCGGCGTAGAAACCTAGGTCTCCACAATAAATTAATTGGATCGTAAGGTAAGCCTTTTGTTTTTGGTTGTCGTCAGTTATACCCTACAAATGAACTTAGTTTAAACCTTGAGCCTTCGACCGAGTGCACTTTGTGATCTGTGCCAACTTTTTACTATAAAGTCTCTTTTAAGTCGCATAAAAAATATTATTAGATGAACCAAAAAGGAAAATGGAATCTTAAACTGTAGCCCACTCTACGAATGACCCATTCAACCAAATTTCTTTTAAATTTTAAACATGGCTACATCGAGTCCAAGTAGATCGACTACTTCAGTATCCAAAGGTCGTTGATAAAACACATACCTGGAGACAGCTCGGACTGTGGTCGTTTGCCTGGCCGATGTTAAAAATGAAACCTCTGCAGTCAAATAATGTTCGATACTCCAAAGGCCCTCCGGAGTCCAGAGTATTGTCACTCTGCCAGAACTCCTGGTCCGCCACCTGGGCGTCTGTCCCCATCAGGGTGTCGAGGAGCCAGCCCTCAGGCTCTGAGTCGGTGGGGGATGGGGCTAAGTACATCTTATGAGGTCTGGAAAGGAACAGTGTAAACAAAAACCTTCATGTTGAATTGTAGCCTTGAGACACTTTTTATTGAAAATGGGAAAAAGAGTTAAAAAAGCAAGGTTTACCTAGGAGGAACAAAAAACACATAAAAAAAATAAGTAAATGTGTATAAAATGAGTCTTAGAAAAGTAAAAAACCCCTAACGTGGTTGTTGAAGGGTGAAGTGTTTATTTCTAGTGCTAATTTACTCACAGGGTGTAAATACGCCTTCAAATTTGAAGATTGCTGGTTCGATTCCTAGCAATATCTATTCTTGTTGCAAGTGTCATTTGTAATTGGGCTACCAATAATGATTTGATCTAAGAACGGGTCAAACAGGTTCATGACCAGGGTAAGAGAACGTAAACAATATCAATAGCGTGAATAAAACCCCGAAATATAAAACAATAATTCAGATAGAAAAATGCCTACGTTTGTAGTAAGTTTTGATTCAAACTAGCATTACACTATTTCACACTACATACGTAATAAAGACTGCAAAGTTTTAATTTGCTCCTTCACAACTTTGGGATAGGTGTGTAAATAGAGCCTTTAAAGGAAGGGTGATGTTAAATCTACTAATCCTACCATCTGTTGGGTATCGTACATTGCAATAAGCCTAGTCTATTGTAATATTGTATTGTAAGTACAGGTAACCCACTTAGTGTACGGCTTCATGCGTGCCAATGACCTATGTGTAGGTGTATGTGTACCGCTTATATGTGCTCTACCTTAGACTAAGCAATACAAGGGCGTAGATTTTATCTTTGGCTCTACGCTCAAAACATACAATACCATGAACAATAGCACTATGGTTCCAATACTATGGTTCTTTCAAGCCCAACTGTGCATTTTATTTCTCTCAGTGAAAATAAAAACCAGCCACCTGTAGGTATAACCATTGACTATATAACAATAGTCAATGGTATAACCTTCAACCAATAGATTTAGAATTTAAGTACAGTAGCGAATGACAGTAGTTGCGATCGTAGATTAATGGTTTCATTTGAATTATTTTGACATGATGACGAATCTTCTCATAGATCATTTAGTTAATTTTGAATAATTTCAACTAATTTATATCCCTCTGCGTTCAGTCTAATAAACTCAAAGTTTGAATATTTAACATTTGAAACATTAATTAATTATGTAAACTCAATTTTTCAAATCGATAAAACTGTTGAAACTACCTGACTTTATGAAGCTGGAAAATTATTATAAGTGACTTGAAAAATATATTAGCTGTTCTTAATTTTCCTCTAATGTAGCTAGAAAATAAAATAAAACATTTATACTCCTATATTGAATAATAAAAAATAATAAAATAAATATTAAAACTAAATAAATAAAATTAAATTAAAAATAACAAAATAAAAACACCGATGTTGTATCCTGTAAAAATTAAGGGTTTGTATTAATTTGTGTGGAAATATAAAAATAAGTATCGAAACAATTATATTATGTAATACTTTTTACCATACGGAATATTTTTAAACAATGGTAAGGATAAGTTACTTTAAACCACCAAACGTCTAAGCTTGATAGATTATGTTAGCAAATGTGCTCCATAATATGAATAAAAACGTGTTATGCTTTTTAAATTGCCTGTCTGGTGTTGGTTAGTCAGTTTTGGGACAGGTTAAACTGTCCACTCCAGCTACCCTGGAATGTTACCGCTAGCTAAATTTCAAGGCTAATGACATTAATTGGCTTCACAGATACGGAAGTCAACCCTTCCACCCCAAACCTTTGTCATTCCTGCCAACTTTGGTTGGTTAAATATAAAGCGTGCCAACTAATTCAAATAGGTCATACTCCCTAGGTACCAGTATATAGGGGACTGTTTTAAAACATTCAGGACTTGTTGTAATTATTGCATATCTTTTTGTCCAATATTCGGATATTTTTAAAACTACGAACCTTAAAAATACATAAACTTACACTTGGTTAACTCACTGTTTATATTTTAGATGGTAAAACGATTTCCTCTCTGCGGTGTCTTATGAGTTGAGCCTTCCATCTATTTTAATCAGATCCATTTTCTTTTTTTTCATTCTTTGATCTATTTTATTAAATAATATTTTTCTAAGTGTAACTGTAGTGTTGTGTGCGTACACTCTTCTAGGCGTGCTATAAGAAAATGAATAATTTCTTTCTGTTCAAAAACTTTAAAATTACTGATTTAATTGCAAATGAAACACCTCAGCTTTATCATAAACAATTTTCAATGGACGAAGAAGTTTTTTCTATACAGCTTACCTGTTTGATTATAGAGATCTCTCTACTAACAATCTGTAGATCGTCGATTTCATTCTAAGAAAATTGAGAAGCTTTTTGGTTCATGCATAATTTTTATTTTTATTTGAGTTCCGGCATAAAGGGCAAATGGAGTCTTTTGATTGGATGATCACAGATATTTGGCTGAGTAACGTCATGACTTTTAACATGTTTCTTAACTGGGCTACCCTAATATTGATTGAAAATATGTAATCGATTAGTTTATTTTATCATTATCATCATCATCAGCAAGCTTTATTTGTTTTTTTCATAATCAGCAAGTTTGGTTAGTTAGGTTAGGTTATAACAGTTTCATTTTATAATTGATAGGCTATAGATGAAAATATCGAATATCTGCATCTGCCATCTGTCTCTGTTGGATCAGCCAATCAAATGCTCTACTCACCCTATATTCTGGAACTCCAATTGAAATAAAAATTGTGTGTCCTAGATCATTGATTTTGGTTAAAGAGACAGCTTCAAAGATTTCAGGAAGTAACAAAGCTATGAAACCCATCTCACTACAATCTACATCCATCCTACATTCATATTAAATTGAAGTACACCTATGCCCGTTGAAGTTTCTTTCCCCATTATATATCGATTATCTATATTAGGTAATTTTATAATAGTAACTCTAACATATACTATACTGTAAAAACCTTTATTGCACATAACATATTTATAAAGGACATATTTATCAATTTACAAGTGTTAAATCGATAGAACTTTATCGAGTCAATAGGCATAATTTAAAAGATGTATACTTTGTTACAAGACTCAATTTTACTTTCACTCGGGCTTTTCGTATGATAAATTAAGTAAATAAAGTACAAATACGTCTAATTTTTAAATATCGTAACTTTACCCCACTAATCGTAACAGGAGCATTATCATAGTTCGATTTTAATTGCATAGAATAATACTAAAGCCCAATAATTCAAGCCCAATAAATCATAATGTGATTTTTGAGCAATCCTACTTAACAATACAACGTGGCAGCAAGACATCCTGTTGCACACCTGGCATATGAAGTAATTTATGTCGGATTGAAAAATAACAATAGAGAGAAGCCAGACGCCGAGAAGTAGGTTACGAGACTCAGCAGGGTAGATATGGGATTAGATATGTGACAAATACAGATGTGGAACTACTTGGATTTTGTTCGCAAGAAAATTATAATAGATATCCAACTATTTCTTAGTGAGAATCCAAAAATTAATTTCAGCCATTGATTCCAATTTTTATTTCCTGGCGGTAAGTCGGCACATTGCAATTAAAATTCCTTGATCTACTTCGAGATTTTTACGCCAAGATAAACATAGATATAAAAATATGAAATATATTTTGAAATTGAGTTATTTTTGAAGTTAGACAAAGTCAGATGCAATTCCAATGAAACGCCTTGTACTGGGTAAAACCGCCAGTGCTTCATATTTGTTGGGATGTAAATAATCGATTATATTTTATTTTTTATAATCACCATTTTTACACCATTTTTGAACCCGAACCTATGTTTAGCCTACTTACTATATAGTGAAGAATTTTCCTCAACGATGGACTTTTGGTCTCATAATCAGTGTTTGTGTTGTGTGAGTTGGAGACATAAACATAGAATATAGTTTTGTTGCAATGAACTAAAAAATAGACTAGACGAACAGACAAATTATATATATAACAAAGGAGTCTTGCATATAGTTAAAAATTACATAATCTCGTTTGGATTAGTATCTACATATTTGACAACTTGAGATACAAGAAATAATATTGTTCTTCGACAAATTACTTAATCTGTTGTTAAAATTATTTTTCTGTACATAAATATTTTCTTTGATAATACAGCCATGAAAATAGTGTGACAAATGAAATAATAGGAGTGTATATTCTTTTATGGAGGGGCAAAAAGTGTCTAACTGGCTGAAGACCAGAATTATGTACTCTCCCCCTCCCACCATCCCCTCACCTGTCTTTAATGCCACAAAGGCCGAGGCTGAATAGAGAGACTGACATTATCTTCTCAGTTCCTCAAAATAATCATCAGCACAGGGTGATGTGCACATTTATAAGTTGAAAAAAGCTATATTTCATACTAAGATGAGTATGTACAGCCATCTCCTTGAATAATCTCGTAGACTCCAATCCTAATGTAAAATTGAAACCTGTGGTGACAGAGTTACCAGAGGTCAAGCTTACCCTACCTTATAATTTGTTTATTTCTTTAAATCGTTAAAAACAAGTAACAATACCTTAAATGTAAAGGTACATGGCTACCTACAAAAACCACATTGAACAAAATTTACTTTTAAAATCAGTAATAGGAAGGCAATATTTTGTAAGTCTTGCTTGTAAGTTTTGTGTGTAGGATTTCATTTTAGAATTCTCTTCCAGTTTGGTATAAAAAAAAAAAATGTGATTTACTTGGTTGGAACATGTGTTTTATCAGGCTGCAAATTAGTGGAAATTGTTGTCATATTTAACTACAGAAACTAGTCAACACACAAATTAGCATGAAATGCCATGTAAAATTTACCACTGTATCCACTGGTTAAAATGAAATGTAACTAAAACAGCCATGGTTGGTAATTTCATAAAGCTAAATGGTAAACAATATCTAGTTCGATTTGTTTTAAGCTGCTTTTAAAACACTAAGCCGTTCAATTTAAACCATAAAATCTTATAAATCTCATGGATTAACCTACCGACTGAATTAAATTGATTAATTTGACGTAATGGCATTTTTAAAATTACGAATTAAGTAAAATCTCAAGGCGCTTGTTTTATTTGTTATCTTCACTTTACCAAAAATTAAGACGCAATTAAACGGCCAGTCAATTTCCAAACACTGTCCATGTATGTAATAACTTTATACTAAATGAAAATAAAATCATTTATTCATTTATTCGTTTATTCGTTTATATTCGTGTATTAGTTTATTAGTTTATTCGTTCATTCGTTCATTCGTTCATTCGTTCATTCGTTCATTCGTTCATTCATTTATTCGTTTATTCTTTTTTGATTTGTTCATTTATTAATTTTTTCATTTTTTTATTTATTCATTTTTAAGTTAACCAACTATAAGCTATCCATTAACGTTTCTTATTACAAAGTGGGCGTTAGATAGTACCAAGACCAGGGTTTGGACAATTTCCTCATAAAATAGAACAACTGTAAGAATAAAATATAAAACATACTGTATACTATTTCGATCCTCTCTTCCCCACATCGTTTCACATGATCCACCCACTTTCCTTTTAAACATTCTTCCTAAGAACTGTTTTTTTAAAGTAGGTCTATGCCTCATTCTCCATCCTATATGCCCCCCTCATTAGCTGCCTTTACCTAATCCTCTCCGACCATTCTAAACTTTCGCCATCTTTATGGCCCTTGAAAGTTTTAAAGGGAGTGACCACCCTTTAAAAATGCTGAAACCGTTCCGTGATTAAAATTTAAAAAAAACACACACAAAGTTGTTAAATGTCTGCTAAAAGGGAGCCAAAAACATATCTAAAAGCATTCCTTACCTGACTACAACACAGGTAACACTGAGCCCCGGCACATCGCACCGTTACTTTGGCAACTGTAGGGACAATAGCTGACTAGCTTTGTTTCTGTGCCGATGTGTGGCTTCGTTATCCGCTTATATCATTGGTCCTCTCCACATCACAGGTCGGCTTTCCCCTTTGTGTACTTTGTCCCAATACCAATAATGTCTGATAAAATGTCTCAAGTTACAGTTGAAGAATGTGTAAGATCCTCCGTACTTAACTTACACTTTCAATGGGGAACGGAAACCAATTTGAGGACACAAATAACAGATGGATAAAGGTGTGTATTTTTTAAACTTTTCATAGATTTAGGTTGGCTATATTTATAGAAAAGAAGATACTACAGGAAAACCAAATGAAAGGACTGTGGCATCAGATATGGTGTGTTGGTAGCATAGTGGTCAGCGGCTTGTACTTCAGTGCGTGAGGGATGAGTTAAATCCACAAACATTTGATAGGTTTGGACCGCTTTCTGACTGAACTACTGGTGTCGACCAAAAAAATTATTAGCAAAATAAAAAATATGAAGTATATAAAACAAAAATGTAACATTTTGTTAAAATAATTTCTTTTTGAAGACAAAATTTCCATATCATATATATTTTTTTTATTAGGACATTTTAATAACATGAAAGTATTTCTTTATTTACAATCTTATCAACAGGTAATACAGAAAAACAATGTAAGTCACGTGTATATCGAATACTCAGAATAGACACAGTAACTGCTGCGACTGTTCAACAACACCTAACACAACTGAGTATCTGTGACAGTGCCTGTCAGTCAGTGACTCATCAATCACGGTACAGTGATTGCTGGAACTGTTCCCATCTGTTCAACAACTCCTTACACATCTGAGCAAGTATCTGTGACAAACAGTGCTGTAAACCTGTCAGACAGTAGGTGACTCATCAATCACGGTACAGTGATTGCTGGAACTGTTCTCATGTGTTCAACAACTCCTTACACAACTGAGCAAGTATCTACGACAAACAGTGCTATAAACCTGTCAGTCAGTGACTCATCAATCGTGGTGCAGTGACTGTTGCAACTGTTCCCATCTGATCTACAACTCCTTACACAACTAAGCAAGTATCTGTGATAAACAGTGCTATAAACCTGTCAGACAGTGACTCGTCAATCACAGTGCAGTGATTGCCGAAACTGTTCCATCTGTTCAACAACTCCTTACACAACTAAGCAAGTATCTGTGACAAACAGTGCTATAAACCTGTCAGTCTGTGACTGATCAATCATGGTACAGTGACTGTTGCAACTGTTCCCATCTGTTCTACAACTCCTTACACAACTAAGCAAGTATCTGTGACAAACAGTGTTGTAAACCTGGCAGCAGACAGTGACTCATCAATCACGGTACAGTGACTGCTGCAACTGTTCCGTATGTTCAACAACTCCATACACAATTGAGAGCTGAAGAAATTATTGCTATAATGCATATTGCTAATTTACAGCAAGTTAACCCACAAACTGTATGCCCAAGGAAGATTTTGTAAAAAAAACACAATATTTCTTACTTAGGACTATTTTATCAAGGACATTAAGTACTGATCAAATGTATTTTGCCAATACCATTGTCATATAGTATCTCTTACATTTTACACAGTTTTATCTGAAATATACAAAACAATAGTTTCTTAGATATTCGACTATTGAATGGGTTATTGTTATACAATGAATTTAACAACAGCAAGTAAAAAAAATATATAACATTATTAATAATAAAATTCAATGCAAACTACTTATATTAAGCCAAATTCATATGAATGAAGAACGTGTGTAGAACGGAGAGATGCATTGTGTAGCTTTGTAACTGATCTAGATTAGCCCAATGACCAAGGAGATCTTGGCTCTGTATTTTAAAGGATCATTTTAGCTTCTGATCGCAATATGAGCAGTAACCACTCAGTTTTCAAGCTATTTTATATTCTCTTTTAAATTTAATTAAATTGTCAAAAAACTTATAAATATCTAGAGTTAGGATTTATAACTTATTTAATAAGATTTTTATGAAAAATGTGAGTTGAAAATCGTTTTTCGAACATTATTTCTTTTTGAGCGTGGATATCTCAGAAACCATGCGTTTTTCACTTACAATGTATACGATCAAAGTTGTAGCAAATTTAATAAGCTTTAACTTTTACACTAAACAATTTAAGCTACAACTCACCAATCGCAAATCGGGGCATTTACCCCTCCCATCACCCGCCCCCGCCCCCCCACCGAGATGATTTTTTTCTCACCTATCATATATTCATTCCTCCCCGACACATTTCTGAAAAAATTGGGAATAAATAGATTTCTTCCTCTTTCTTCCTCTTTCTTCCTATTTTGCTTTTTACTGTTAGGTCTTTGTGATTATCTACAAACCAAATGATAAGTTATTTCTCTCGTCTCATACACCACTTTACTCAACACCATATCACCTGAAGCGGCCTAACTTGTCTTGCAAGTTTTGATTGATGGGAGATTAATGCGATCAAATCTTAAACAAAGGTTAAAGATATTTTTTGTAAAAGTTTCAATAGCACAACTACTGTAATTCTAACATATTTATATTCATCTCACTGAAAAGAGTTACGGGGAAAGTTTAAATGTTTCCCATAAACACTATGTTTGGACAAAAATTGTATCAAATCAATCAATTATCAATCATTAGGATGGGGACGCCACTTAGGGGCGGTTAATTTTCCCAAATATGAGTGAAGGATGAGTGTAGAATGGTGTGAGATGATCTGTGTAGCTTTGTTACTGACTAAGATCAGCTGTTTCATTAGCCAGGATCATTTATTTAAAGCCCAATGTATAGAAAAACTTGTAGACATTTTATGTCTACGAAAATAAACTCTATTATAAAACTCGGTAAACAATTTTATAGTTTCAAGAAAATTAGGATAAGAATTGCTACCACCTTAGTAGCACCTAATTACCTTCATTACAATTATCATATTCCTTATTATAACCAACCTCTAATAAAATCGAATATCAAATCTAGGTCTGTTAAAATATTACCTACACGCTAGATTTGTAGTGATAATTTTGTATTCGATGACAAGGTATTCTTTTTACCGCTGTTTGTGATGTAATACAATAACTTTTAGGCTAATGATACGATACGATATGTTAGTAGTCCTGCGATACGATAATAAATAAAAATGTATATCTTGAATATACATCTCGTTTAAAAAGAAAATACTACAAGTTGATGTCTACCGTTTTAAATGCTGCATTACCAGAGACTTTGCAGCACTCCAAACCTTTTAAAATGTCAATATAGTCTGCCAGATATTTAAAGTTGAAGATCCGAAAGAGGTAGAAGCATTTGGATGAAATAGTGTTATAAATTTGCGCCAAAGTGTGGTGGAATATTATTGTCCAAGTTTTTTTTAAACATGCGTATTGTTCAAAAACTACTAAATTTGTTACTAATGGAAAAACTATATTTTC